CTTCGTGACGAGTTTAGCAGAGGTGCCTCAAAATTGTAGACCGGCGCTGCACCTCCGACAAGTGATTGCTCATGTTCTGCCATAGCGACACCAGTTCTTGGGCATCCGTCTCCACTACAATGTGGTCGCGGGTTCCCTCCTGCATTAAATGAATACCCTCGCGTAACGCCTCCGCCTCTGATAGCAAAGCCGAACTCACTGAGGCTAAAACACATGCTGATACTGCGAGGAAGCTGCCGTTGCTGCGCCTGATCACCGCTCCTATGTGAAGTGTGAGTTAGAGCAGATACGCCTGAGTACATTCCGCAGGTGCTTAACAGCATAGTCAAATCTATAGTCTCCACTGCACCAGTACATCCGATCTCATCAAGCATGGAGCCTAGCAAGCATGCAGGCATCGGCCACGGGGTTCCGCTGTCATTGCTTCCTGAATCCTGAGCTGCTTGTGGCAGCGGGCGATATAGTCATCCTCTTGCAGTTTGTGGGGCTGTCCATAGCATCATCTTCAGGGAAGAACGGAAGACCACTTTATTCTGCGATTTGCCCCATTTGAAACTGAATTTACGCTTCCTTGGGGATGGTGTTTCTGGCTATGGAAGATTGGAAGGCCTTGCAGGAGATGCAGACTTTCCATTGTAGAACTTGGATACCCCTTCCCTGCCGAATGCACCAAAATTGATCAGCAAAATGGAAGACTGACAGGATTTCGAAAGATAATTTCCCATTTCTCATAACCAATATAAATGCTAGTATAACAATTTATGGACTGGACAGAGAGATGAGCAGTCTCGAGGCCGCTAACAATGAATATAAACAGACAAAGTTAAGTTGCTGGCTCCAAAACAAAAGACAAGTAACTACATACTTTAGTGCTGTGGATAACAAATACTATGTGCCCATCATAAGCTAGTTGTAGTAGCTAACAAATTCATGTGGGGGATGGATACAAGAATCAGTACCAGATCTCTGAAAACTAATTTGTTAATTGAAATTGTTCTGATTACCTCCATTGATTCGTTCCGATCTATAGAAAACTCTGCGCATGTGTGGCTCGTTCTCAATATTCAACTGCTAGCATGCATGTTGCATTATCCGCAAGCTGCCAATACTTGCACATGGTCTATGTCTATACGCCTCTGTGGTTACGTGTGTATTGGACAAATAATTGTTTTGAATGTAGGATAAAAAAATTGGTATTTGAACGTGGCAAATTCATGATATAATCATGAAATAGAAGTGTTCTGAAACGCGCTTATTCATAATAAGCAACTTATAAATAAAGCAATAAGACATGTACACACAAAAGTAGTCCGGTCATATATATATAGCGGGGTTGTTAGTTCTTAATTATTAATTAGGATATCTTAGATTAGCCTAATTATAGGAACACCTAATCCGCCACATAGCACTTAATTGAACTTAATTAGTACTGACCTGATGATGCCGATGTCCGATGGGGCTGCCGCAGTCCATGTGGCATATGCCGGAGTCGTTGGTGTGGTGGTCGTCCGTGAGGAAGATGATCGGCTTAGGGGGGAAGGACGAGATCCCTCCCTCTATTATAAGCTCATGGTGGCCTGGGACATGTCTATGAGACAGTAAAGATGCCCTCAGGGCTAGTACGTGGTTGTTAAACCCCTTTTGACTCGGTCTTTATTGGCCGCCTGAGATCAATCTAACGATCTCCCCCTTAATCGAGAGGTTTAGTACTTTTATTATTAATACATTCTCAATATAACAGTATATTGAGATAAAATCGCAATGATCAATTAAGCACCATTGGACCTAGCATCTATAGTAGACCACTTCTACATCAAATAGGACAATCACTTGATACTTATTAGAGAAATTCTTAAAGGGAGATAGAGCTCTTTCTCTTAAAACCATTCTTCAATAACCGAATATACCAAGACAAAAGTATTGCAACAGTAAATTAAGTATTGATGAACCCAATCGCCATAGTGAACTATTTATATCTCAGAATGACATTGTCTTAGTCTTATGATGTCCCATTTACGATCCTATTGTGCAGTTTACTTTTACTTATACTTTTGTGCACATTGAAAATAAACATATATATTTCCATAATCACAATTTGAGATCTTAGTATTATCTCATATGATATGTTACCAATAAACTTTATGCCGGTAACTTAAGGTAAACCTATGGTAGGGAATAATTAAGTTGAATATAGTGTGCAACACTTAGAACTTATTAGTGAGCATCAACGTCTTAAACTTATATGATTACACTTTGAATCTAAATTGTTCTTTCATACTGTCTTTGGTTTGGCAATACCACTTGACGTGTTACTCGAATCAAAAGTTGTACTCATATATAATATATTCTGGGATAAATATCTTAAGTTAAAGGAATCTTATAATAATAACTTTGTTCTTAGAACAAAATAAACTTAACTTATATTAAATAAACATGTTATACCTTATTTTGTGTTACAAACTCTCGTGGGTTCGTAACCATGGCCAGTGATTAGTGATGAATGTGTGGAACTTTGGTGGCTAACACCCAAAACACAAGAAGGTTCATCCTAAATCGAGCTTCGAAGCCCTATGTCCAATCGTGTTAGGATGCTCAAACGAGTTCTTACAACAGAGAAAGGCACACAGTAGGAGAGCATTTGTCTAGTTCTGATCTAGGATTTTGGGATGAGTTCGATTGATCGATCCCTTGTTCGAGTGTTTGATCCCTTCCCTAAGTGTTCCCTTGCCCGTCCTTATATCTCTGGTGCGCAAGGGGCGTACAAGGTTTGGGGTTTTCCATAGCTTCGTTGATCTTCAAGGAAGTGTTAAAGCTTCATTGTCTTCGTCTTCGAGCCGTTGGGCGTCGCTGCTCCAGGCTTGGTCGTGGCCAACAATGTAGATATCGCCGGTGGTAGCTTTTGCAGATGGTAGTGGCAGATCCTTGCAGACTGAGAGCTCGTTTCGCCCGTCCTTTGTCATCACTTGCACGCCAAGAGATACGAGGCCTGGGAAGCTGACGTGTGGGTCCAGCGCGCCCCTTGTCATGTTGTGTCATGCCCCGTGTATGACTTGTTACTAAAATATGCGGGCAACTCCATGCTAAGGCGTAGGGAATAGTGCCCTGACAGAGCTGACCACACTGTGCTTCTTACTCAGGTGTCAGGCTCCTCTTGCATGGCAAGGCCAAGGCCTTATTGAATGCTCTGAGGCATCAGCTCGAGCCAACCCGCTAAGCCTCGTTTGGCTGGTCGGGGCCCTCAGGTGACGGTGACACGAGCTGTCCCAGGCTCTACTTACAGGCTTTGGTCAGGATCCAGCGCGGGGGCACACGAGTGTACATGTTGGTGTATCCCCCGAGCCCCAGGCTGAGTACGAGAATCAGTAAGGGGGTAATTATAGAAGTGAGGGATTTGCATAACTCCAATGTTGATATTTATGAGGAACCACCGAGACACTCGTGGTGTCTCTGAGTCGTCTTCAGAGTGACGATGAGGGGATCAACCTTTTTCGATCGTTCGTCCTGCCGAGCCAAGATCCCTGATTCAAAGTCCTTCGGTGGATAAGAAGTACGCTGACCAACTTCTAGGTCGGACGATGCCTTCGGTGAGCTCAAACCGGTCAAGTCTGAGCGGGGCCAAAACAATCCCACGGGGGCGTCTAGCTCGGGCCTACATGAGGCGCTCCACTTACCCAACTCACCATGGGCCGAGCAACTGGCTCGTTGCCTGGTCGCCGCTCGGGTGCCCACCCCTTAAGCTTACGATAGATCATTAGAAGACCCATGTAGTGAAAAGGGTAAGTGCCAAACTTGCAACTAAATAATTGTGAATAAAGACCTTGGCATTGTTTTGTCTCCCCAAATAGAAGATCTCACTCTTTTGATATTAATATTAATACCTGATAATTGTCCAAAGATACATAAAAGTAACTTCATGTTTTTGGGCTGTTCAATATCATGATCTAAAATTAACACGGTGTCATCAGCGTAGTGCGAGATAGAAAGACCATGATCTACCAAATGAGGCACTGACCCTTTGATTTGACCATCTACTTTGTCTCTTTCGATAATGATTGTTAACATATTCATTGTAATATTTTTTTTGAGGAAACAGGACGGGTAGCCCCCTACTGGTTAATATATATTAGTAACAGAAGAAAAAAGAGGTGTCTAGGTCCTTTCTTTGTTTGAAGTAAAGACCTAAATGATTGCTTTGTTTGAAAGTATGGACCTAAATGATCATTAACTTTGATGCTATTTCCTCCTTGTACAAATATTTGAATCCAGTTACACCACTCTCATTTCACTTTGTCATATGCTTTCTCAAAGTCAATTTTGAAAAGCACTCCATTTATTTATTTATTTTCATAAGCAGTTCATGTATAGTATATGTAGAATGCATGCCCGTGTCTTCATTTATTTGTTGAATTTACTGTTTGTTTAGATGTGAAGTGCGATCCAGAGAAGATACGCCTAAGTACATGCCCGTGCCTCTCCCCAGTCATGTTGGTTCCACGTGACGACTAGCAACAAAAGAAAAATACAGCACAATAGCACACAATCCTGACATCAAATTATGCCTATTTCAGAACGACAAGCAAAACAAAGGTCAGTACGAGCAACATGGCTGAATTAGCATAGAAAAGCAGAATCCAGCATTTACAAGTCAAACAGTAACCAATGCACAGCCCACTGATTTACTCCTTACATCAGTTTGCCTAGTTCATCTGTATCTTTCTCAATTCTCATTACATCAGGTATAAGGAGAATCCCAGCTATATCAACACGAGTTCATTCGATCTCACTAGAATCCCAGCTATATCAACACGAGTTCATTCGATCTCGCTGTGCATGTAGGCATCAGCCATTGGGTTCCGCTGTCTAAAATGGACACCAGTGTTTGGCTGACACCAAAGGTGAAGGTTTCGCCAAATCTTCAAGTGCTTGTCCCCCTCAGACTAACCAAGATTCAGCTCTTGCTAGTTCTTCATGCGCTTGTCCCTGATACTATTCAACTTTTGCTAATTCTTCATGCGCTTGTCCCTGGGAGTGACCATGGCAGTTGAGTCTGTCACATCCTGCAGATCAAGCATTGACTGAGATCTCATGAGAGCTGAGAACTGCTGGGGTGGACGAGGTGCAGGCAGAGAAGCAAAAACACCCATGGCATTGCTGGGACTTCTGTGTGGGCGACGGGAAGACAGCTTCTGGGAGTGGTTATGTTCGTCATCGCTGCCACTGTTGCTTCCTGAGCTGCTTGTGGCAGCAGGCGATATAGTCATCCTCCTGCAGTTTGTGGGGCTTTTGATTGCATCATCTTCGGGGAATACCTCTTTATTCTGCGGTTTGCCCCATTTGAAACTGAATGGAAGAAGACCTTTGCGCTTTCTAGGGGATGGTGTTTCTGGCTTTGGAAGGTCTTTCAGCAGAGAAGGTTTTACAGGATCTTGAAGCTTTGCAAGAGATCCAGACTTTCCATTGTAGAACTTGCATACCCCTTTCCTGACACATTAAGAATAATGATCAACAAAATGGAAGACTGATATGATTTTGAAAGATAATTTCTCATAACCAAGATAAAGCTAGTATAACAATTTAAGGACTGAACAGAGTGATTCCCCAGGCTGCTCACAATGAATAAACAGACAAATTAAGTTGCCAACTCCAAAGACAAGTAACTACATATTTTTAGTGCTGTAGATAACAAACTAAGCTAGTAGCTAACAAATTCATGTGGACTAAGAACACCCTGTCTGTTTGATCCTGTGCTTGGGTTATTCCATGTTGTCCCGATAACAAATTAAGCTAGCAGCTAACAAACTAAGTTGCCAACTCCAAAACAAAGACAAGTAACTACTTTTAATTTTATATGATCAAGAGCATGTGCTCTAATAGACAATAGTGGTAAATAGATAATCAAATATGTCCAACAATATGTTCAAAGAGATGAATGCATTCATGTGATTCCACACACAAACCATGAAACAGTTTTTTCTTCTTTTCTTTTTTTTTTTTGGCAAAATCACATAGTTTAACAAACACAACAAAGGATCACTTGCCAAAGATTACATGCATCTGCCAATCCCAAAGCTTACAACCTTACACAGACCCTATCTAACCATCAGTCAGTAAGGTCATGGAACCAGGAACAAACAAGTTATACCAGATTTCCAATAGATACTGATCTATTTGACCTGCTATGATGAGTATGCAAAATGGATGGATCGCTACTTCCTTTGTAATGTATACCAGCTGCTCTAGTGCCTAACAGAAGAAATTTCATCATTTATGGACATATGTTTTGAGCACATAGAAGCTTTGATAATACCAGGAGTCTATGGGATACAATCCTGCCATGTAGCTTATTATTTGGACTGAATAACTACTAGGATTGAAAACAGTTTTCCACTGAACTAGTAGGACTGAATAGGCTTGTCAACAGTTTGCCAACTACAGCAGCATTTGGTAAAATCACAGTAACATGTACTCCAGGAGTAATACCAATGAAAATAATATCACAAGAATTATAAAGTGTTCTGCGCCTAGTCCAAAGTACTGCTCCAATCATACATTCATATGTGATAGTAACATAACAATAAGGAACTCTACAAACAGTTGGCGCACAATCTTTCCATCTTAAATAGAAAGAAACAAAACTTTATAAAGAATAAGCTTATAGCGATTAGGCTTTATTGGAGAAATACTATGCTATTCTCATTGATACCTACTTTTACTCTCCTTGGAAAGCCTAATCAAAACTTATCATTGCGCAGTCAAGTGGATCACAGAGTATTTGAAGGACTAGATCAGAGTTTGGTATTCTTCAATTATTGCAGGCCCCCCTGAGCAACTAGCACCAAAACATACACAGAAGTATCCAGTGCTTCCCCTAAATTATTCCACCCCAACTTATCTTACATAAAAATACCTTAAAAGCAACACGAGAGATTCACAGACTTCAACATAAGAATGCTGGATACCTGTTGATGTCAAGCAGTTCAGGGAACAAAAATTTCAAAGATCAAAGAATCCACATTATCAGGTGACGTTCGTATTATGAACTGTACAGTACAAATGCGTAATGTCCACAACCACGGTGAATGCAAAGCACCTCGGAGAAACGCATATAAGAACCCTAAATCGCAACAATTTTGCCATCCTATCACTACAGAGTCAGAGGCACCTGTTGAAGTTAAGCTATTAAGGGGAATAAAATTTTCCGAAGCCAAAGAATCCACATTATGAGGTGACGTTTGATTGTGAAGAGTACGAATGCGTAATCCCCACCACCACAGTGAATGCAAGGCACCATAAAGAATTGACTAGAAACGTAAATCGCAACAGTTCCCCATCTGATATTCTGATCACTCTGAACGAGACAAGAATGTGAAGAACCCCCTCGATTTCCCAGCAGAAGAAACAATCACTGGACCAAAAACCAAACTAATCCGCTCCAATTACTCCAAGACCTCACTGCTTCAACAGAGAATCAGGAATCTGCGCGTATGTAACGCACATTCCCCAACTGACACCGATCGAGAACCAATCTCTTGGACTGCGTCAACCCAACCAACGCAAGAAATCTCCAAAATTTCTTGGTAGAGACGAGATCAGCGACACAAAGAAGAACCGCCTGTAGCCACATTTACCCCGAATCCCCCAGAGGAGCCGCGCGAATAAGCCGACAAGGCCAATCAAGATCCGTTCCCCGTGGCAAAATGGGCGGGCGCTCACCTGAAGGGCAGGGCCTCCTGGAGCGCGTCCATGGTCTCGAAGGGGGAGCCCTTGTACGAGCTCTGCACCTCGCCGTCGCCGCCCTCGACCTCCTCGCCGTCCCACTCCCACTGCGCCGCCGCCGCGGGGCTGTCGCTGTCCCGCCCCGCCGAGGACGAGCCGCCGCGCCCGGCCGACGCAGGCGGCGAAGCCGCGTAGCCGCAGCGGGCGACGCGGCCAAACCGAGGGGCGCCGCCGCCGCCGCCGCCCAGCCCGCGCCCGCGCTCCAGTGCGATCGACATGGCTCGCGCTCCTCTCGCGGCCTCGCCTCACATGCAACGGAAGCAGCAGCAGCCGCCGCCGCCTCTTGTTTCTTTCGCTCTCGCTCACTCGACTCCTCGCCTTCACACGCGCACGCGCACGCGCACGGGTACCGAAAGAGCAGTAGCGGCAAGCAACTAGCGTGGCGACTAGGACTGCTTTTTTAAGGGAAAAATTAGTTTCGTACCAAAGATAACGACATTTAAAAAATATCATAAATTCGTCACTTAAAATATAATCGAAAGAACGAACAGTTACTTTCAAATAGCATTCTATCACGGTGGTTGTTGTTAGCGTGAATTTCTCCGTCGAGACACCTTTCTTTCTCAACTCAGCTACCTAATTAGGCATGGACACGCTGATAGGCAGCGACACATGCCCTACACCGCGTGGCTACCTCGCACAGCCCAGCCACGCCGAGTCCGCACGGCGGCGGCCGCAGCTGCTTCATGCCCTTACCTCCGTAAAACACTGCCAGGAGACCAATGCTCTGTGTGCGATTGTGCGTACGTGCATGGACCATCTATCAATGAGCTCACGGCGCATGCAAGAGCAATCGAGTTTACGTGCATGCATATAGGAGTACTCGCGATGGCTGAGACCTGGGACGACGGCTGCCTGTGCCTGTGCCTGAACGCCAAGCTCGGAGCCGCCGATCTGCTCTCAGCTCTCATCACCACCGTTCCCCACCGTTGGCACCACCGTACCATTGCCGAGCCGTGTGCCCCACCATCTCCGCCAGCATGTTCTCACCCCTGCGCACGATAGCAAACAACTCCGGGCCGGATCCACGCCATGTCGCCAAAACTGCTGCTGTCCGCCGCCATGGCCGACTCTCGGTCCACCGTCGCTGTGCAGACCACCGGTGCCTCGGCCGAGCATACCACCACGTCCGTCTGGACTTCTTCCGCCCGCGGCTCACATGAACTGGGCAAATCCGCTCTGAGACATTGGATCCTGCCGCCGCCAGGTGCGTTGTTCCTGCTACTCGCCATGGCCGCCGCGCGAGGAACTCCCGCGGACAGCTCTAATCGGAGGCGCCTCCACCCAGCTACACTGCCGCGTCCACCACCATCGCGTGCACCTCCTTCGGCCGAAACTCCGTCGGCAGCCCTGGTTTGCGGACCGTCTCCGTCCTGCTCGACGCCGGCCGTAGACGCTTGTTTTTTCCGCATGGTGAGCCGCCCCATCGCTCTTACTCAAACCCGCACAAGCCATGCCCAGAACAACCCCTCTAGCACCCCACGCACCTGACGTGTACCCGCGCCGACCTTGTAGTCGCCGGGTTCGCCATTGCTGCATGCCGCCGCTGTCGCCCGTGTTGCATGTCGCGCGGGCACGGGGCCATGATCCTATGAGCCATATCAGGCCACGCCACTGACATCGATAGGTGTGGCCAGCCACCGTGAAAAGCCGTCGGCTGGTCAGTCATGGCCGTTGTGCCCTCTCCAGAGCGAATCGGGCTATGCCCGTACGCCGGCGTGTGTGCTCTGTTTCTCTGAATAGGGGAACAAATGTGCCTCAACAGAGGAATTCACGGCAAAAGCGGCCACCGTGACGGAATGCTATTTGAAGGTAACAGTCCATTCTTTCGGTGGTATTTTACGTAATAGATGTCTTTTGATGGTATTTTTCGAATGTTGTGATCTTTCGATGCTATGAAACCAATTTTCTCTTTTTTAAGAAGGCACATCGCGTGGTATTTATCTTTCTCAGAGAAAACAAAAGAGGACAGCTTTTGAGGACTTGTTTGAATGAGGCAAATTTTTACTGTTCCTATGTTTTTCTGTGAAATTTCTGTGCGATTTCTGTGAAATTCCTACGTTCTAAACATACCCTGAAGATTTTTTATTCTTTTCACCCTTTTCTTTTAATATTTTCCTTTTCTTCTTGAAATTATAATGCCTACGGGGTGAAGAACAAAATGGATATGCGTAAATGTTAAAGATATTGGTGTAATTTCACTATAAACTTAACAAGTTATAAATTTGATCTAAATAACAAAGCTAAAGTATACAGTAATTTGGAATAAAATGAGTACTACCTAAACAAGAATACTACTAACAAAAAAAGAAACAAAACATTGCTAAGGTGAATCCATCAAACAAAAATTCCTGCATTTAAACTGGGGTTCATATTTTCTCTCTCTCCATTGGTCCGGAGTCTTTCTGCGATGCAACTCTTTAAAAAAAAAGAGTCTGTCTGGGATGCTCCTCCTGCTATGAGATTCGTACTTCCTCGTCCCATAAAGAGCATCATTATCATTCCGTAAGAAGTTAAGTATTTTTCAACTCTGACTATATATATAAGATATTATTAAAATTTATAGTGCATAATAAATATCGTTAGATTAATCGTTGAATATTTTTATAATAAATTTATTTCGAGATATATAAACATTGTTAATATTTTATACAAATCTAGTTAAATTTTAGAAAATCTAATCTGAACATAACTCTAGATGATCTTTATTGGTTTTTTTTATCGAAGCCATTACAATTCTTCGAAGTTGGATAAATGCCATTATAATTCGGGTATTCTGAAACATGCCATTATAATTCTGGGTGTTGCTGGTGTTAGCCATTGTCTACGTATGTGAAAAGCTCGGGCCCACTGTCAGGTCGAGGAAGGCGTACGTGACTTCCGTATGGACATTGATGCCCTTCTTGCGTGTTACAAGCCGCCACGCCCTCTCTCCCGTTCAATCCATCCCCCACCCGTGCTCCTCTCCGTCTTCCTCTTCCTTTCCCTAAGAACCCTAACCCTAGACTGTAGCCACCGCCGGAGACCTACGGAGCTGCGACGGCGACCTGCGCTCATCCTTCTCCGTTCCCCTCCTCCAAGAACCCTAACCCTAGAATATAAACAACATCCAACCCCCCGCCTTAGCCGACGTCGCAGCCCACGGCGGAGCAATCTGGCACGGCCACCGCCGGTTCGATGGCGGTGCCCACCTTTGAAGCCATGGCTGGGAAGTGGAGTCGCAACACCATGAAGGCAACTTCTAGTGGCTCGAGCTCGACGGCCAGCGGTAGAAGGGAGTGCCCCTTTTGCCATGTTGCTTTGGTCCGCATCCAGAGCAAGTAACCGGCGACAAAGGGTGAGTGGTACCTCAAGTGCCCGTACAACATCAAGGTTATGATTTTTGATATAGTTGTGCTCGCTGTGTGTTGATTCATCTCTGATTTATGCCCTTTGTTTCGATTGTAGGATGATGATAGTACCTACCCATACATCCGCTCTGTGAAGGAGTATATGGCCTTGGAAATAGAGGAACGGAGGGTGCAGTCAGTGAAGGATGCAGCTGGTGTTTGTTGCGTCGATTTGAAGGAAGAATTGGAACTGATGAAACAAACACTGGATAGTGTTGTAGCAGAGGTTTGAAAAATAAAGATGCTACATGTTGAGGTGATGCCTGCAGTGAAGTCTAAAGTCAACAACAAGAACATGCCTGTAGTGAAGCCTAAAGTCGACAACAAGAACATGCAGATTGTGCTTGATTCTTCTTTTATAGCCGCTGTCTTTGTAGGATTTATCGGTGTTCTGCTTGGTTTGCTTGTGGCTGCAATGTTGAAGTGAACTGATTGTAGCAGTCTCTGTTAGGAAGGAGTGTGTGTATGTTTCCAGAGTGTGTGTGTGGCTGTATGTTTCCAGAATTGTAATGAAATGAACGTATGGTATGAATTGAAATGGGTACCAAATATCTAATGAAATGAGAATCAGTGATCGATCAGCTTGCATATCTTCGTGTGCTTGAGCTTGAACCAGGATCTGAGGTTGCGCCTGTGCTTGTGCTTCTTGCTTCAGCAAGATGCTGTTGCTGCTGTTCGCCTTTGCCATTGCATAGATGCACCATAACATTGTAGAATGGCACCAAAACATATGTACCAGTGCCACAGTTGCAACTCTACAATGGCAAACTAAATGGTCTTTTATGGTTATGTGTTTTATGCCTCACTTTTACATATATGTGGTTAATTGCAATACATGTTTCATATCACCAGAAAATATTAAGACATTCTCTTGGGTTGTAGAAAAAATTGTATGGTAATAGAAGTACAGGCAAAATGAGCAAATACTTCATACTTCAAGCAAGTATATCCTGGAATAGCTCAAACACACAACAGAGGCCCTACACATGCATTTCAGTATATGTTCAGATTGAGCTAACTGCATGCTGGCAACCATCACAGAAAAATGTAGATGTAGATGCAAGCGGCACCAATAGGCAATTTCATTGCACATAAGACAATTCTACAATGCTGGCAACCATCTCATTACATTTCAAGTGTCCCTGAACATTTCATACAAATAGCCAATAAGGGCACTACAAAAGCAATTTCATTACTTGGAAGCAACGAAATTACAGAGTTTGCAGCCATTACTCCGACATACCATTCAGCTTACATAGCAGGTTACATCACTCAGGCTATTCTCAGATTACAAAAGCGCTTGTTCAAGTCCAAAGGCCATATAGGCCACAAAGGCCATTTACATCACAGACTCCTAAGTCACAAAATACATCCAAGTCACAAAATAAGCTACAGGTGGATTACTGCCCATTATTCAGCATATCCATCAGACCTCTAACAACCTTAGCAGGTGGAGCTGCAGCCTTTTCATCAGTTTTTTCGTGACTGGTGTTTTCTTCTTCTTAGTTGTCTTCTTGTTCTTAGCGGAAGCTGACTTCTTCTTCTTCACTTGAGAAGGTCCAACTTCTTGTTTAGCCGGCCTCTTCCTGCATCATTAGTTCAAACAAATTATTTTTGATACCACTATTTAGTAGACAGATACAAAATGAAAACAGTACAAGTCTTACTTTTTATTCAGTGCAGCAACAGTCTCACCATCAGGTCCCATCTCAGGTTCCTTGCATGTCTTGGCAAAGTGTCCAAAATGTCCACACCTTCGACATTTCACTATCTTCTTTGTACTATTTTTTTCCAAGCAACCTCTTATCCTTACCACTTTAGGCCTGCCT